CACTACATGTGTCTATGGTAATGGCACCCTCTTGGAAGTATTTTTTGTTTTTATTTCCTGCTATTTGTGCTTATTTAGTAAAAATTTGTTTTGAGAAAAACAACAACTAAATGCTTAGTAGTGTTTCCTGACAACTTTGATGTCTGGTAACTGGGTATATTACAAAATGTGTCATAATTTCCACTTTCAGAAGTATTCAGTTATCTACTTCATTTTAGAAAAAGTGCTGCAAGACAAGGTAAAAAAGGCATTATTACCACTGGCACTGATTTTACTAGTACCCTGTACTGCAACTCCGATTGCTTTATAATCACCACTTGCTCACTTTGCATAACATACATATATATTCAATAAATATTCAATAAAACTACATGTACTACAAGAAATTACTATACAAATAATTAATATTCTTAGGTTTCAAAACTGGATGGAGTACAGTATTAAATATAATTTTTTAAATACATTAATTTAAATAAGTATTATTACATGTGTTAGAATAGAAACTAAAACATGCTATCAACCTTTAACTAACATACCTGAAATACTCTTTGTCATGTCTGTTTTTTTCTTTAGTTAATACAGGTACAGATAGTCCCCTACTTAAGAACATTCTACTTATGAACATTCCATACATACAAACAAAATTTTTTAAGTACTAAAGTCCAAAAAATTGTTTGAAAGATGCTAACAAACTTCAAATTCAAGAGTCTGGTACGGTATAAGGTATGTTGCACTTATTGAGATTTATTTACAAGTATTCTTAATGTAAACAAAACTTTAAAACAATGGGAAAAAAGGTAATGGAGATCCGACTTTCGACATACAAACAAATCAACTTACAAACAGCCTCTCAGTCCCCATTATGTTCTTAAGTTGGGGACTTACTGTATATAACTTTTTCAAAACTAAAGGGATATTGGTAATACACATAAAATGAAGGGTTCAATGGAAATTGTATGCTATTACACAGCACGATGTGAAATTTATGTGATTGAAAAGAAAAGAAATGGAAAAGGAGTTGTCATAGAAAAAAATGTGTAAAGTTAAGTTAATATTGATCAGTTACATAATTGGATGATCAATTTTTTTTCTTATCTCCTTATATATATATATATGTAAGAATTATGCACAAATTAAAAGGCCAATCAGAAAACTGCCTCTAATGTAGTAAAATTTACTTCATATGGGGTTTATCAAGTGTTAAAAAAAACAAAACGAACAGTAACTGCATTTGGACATATAGCACAAGGCAGCACACTTGCCTAATCACAAAAGCAAGTCATGAAATATATCATATTGATGAGTCTGACTTCATTATACAAGAGAAAGCTTTGAAAACTCATAAGAGAGCATTTTTGTGATTGGGGGCTCTCAGTTCACAACATACAGTGCATTCCAGTACACTTACAATATTTATATATGGCTTTTGTGTTTATCAGCAAGAAGGTAGCAACTGCTTTTACTGCTTCTTGCAAAAGTTGTTACATATGACTGAGGATAAATGGATGGATGGATAGATAGATAGACAGATAGATAGACATACACCTCAGTTCAATATCTTACCTCATGAAACTTTAAATTATTCAAACACTAATGCCTAATCACAAAAGCAAGTCATGAAATACATCATACCATGAGATAGACGAGCCTGACTTCAGTATATAACAGAGAGCTATGAAAACTAATAAGAGAGCTTTTTCTGTGAATGGGGCTCTCAGTTCAGAACTTACAATGCATTCCAGTACACTTACAATATTTACTAATGGCTTTTATATCTATCAGCAAGAAGGTAGCAACTGCTTTTATAACTTCTTGCAAAGTTGTTACATATGAAAGAGGATAAATGGATGGATAGATAGATAGACAGATAGATAGACATACACCTCAGTTCAATATCTTACCTCATGAAACTTTAAATTATTCAAACACTAATGCCTAATCACAAAAGCAAGTCATGAAATATATCATATTGATGAGTCTGACTTCATTATACAAGAGAAAGCTTTGAAAACTCATAAGAGAGCATTTTTGTGATTGGGGGCTCTCAGTTCACAACATACAGTGCATTCCAGTACACTTACAATATTTATATATGGCTTTTGTGTTTATCAGCAAGAAGGTAGCAACTGCTTTTATAACTTCTTGCAAAGTTGTTACATATGAAAGAGGATAAATGGATGGATAGATAGATAGACATACACCTCAGTCCAACATTTTATCTCGTGAAACTTTAAATTATTCAAACACTAATGCCTAATCACAAAAGCAAGTCATGAAATACATCATACCATGAGATAGACGAGCCTGACTTCAGTATATAACACCTCAGTCCAACATTTTATCTCGTGAAACTTTAAATTACTCATTGAATAAGGTCCCTGCAATATGATCACACTAGTTTGCTGGAATATCCTTGATAATCATGTTACATTAAGATAAAATGTGTAAAATTGTAACTCTGCTAACTTACCATCAACATTATTACCCCCTCATCACAACCATTCACTGCCAGATCACCCCCAAGGTATGAAAAAAGGAAATTCAGTTAGCAGGATTTCTAGTTGACAAATGATTGGCAAACATCCTTTGATTCAAATCTATTTCTCCCATGATGATAACACAGGAACCTCTACTGGGATTTAATGAAATTGATCCCTACACAGTTCTTTATAGGAAGCACAGATTTTACTTCGGTTTAAGAATTCCATAAAGGTAATACCATAAATTCTGTATCAGAGACTTGAAGGCACATCACCTTTTTTTTTTTACAAAACAATACAGATATATCTAGACTTTTGGAAATCATGACATAAAGGACTTTTCATATATGAGTAATATAGAAGAATCTGGTAAATTTAAAATTACAAATTAATTTACTATGTACCAGACAATCAACTATGGACACAGATGGTGGGTTAACTGGGGTTTAAGTCCCCTCAGTTAATAAGGAATCTAATATGTCCCCTACACCTCTGAACACTCCACCGATAAAAATTAATGGAAAAAAAGGTAAACCTATGGATTTTTAAATGGACAACAAAATCACTGCCTTACTGAAACAACAATCACAAACTGTATAGCTTGCTCACAGACTGTAGTTGCTCTTAGGTAAGAGTCCACTCACTCTCCTCTGTATACAATGGTGACTGTTTGTAGCAAGATAGCTAAACAGTATCATCTTCAATGTATTCATATTTCCCTGCTTTTAAATCATCTTCATTCTCTGTTACCATGGTGTACCAATTTAATGAAAGGTACAAACATCTTAAATGATGATATTCATTTTTTAGAAAATTTATTTCAAGGCATTAAAACTTGTAATGCCGAGTGTGGATTTCTGTATGTGTCTTATTTCACAAGTTAGACTTTGTTGACCTGGCCCATCTTACTTTAGCCTAGGTAGCTATTTTTTCTTATATCTTTGATGTAGAAATATGTGACAATAGCTTCAGCTTTTCTTTTAAAGGCCAGTAGAATCATCAAGATCTCCAAAGCCTTCATATACCTATGCTCAAGTCATTGCTTTTAGATTCTGAACAATACACTGACATTCAACATCTCTGCCAAGTATCCTGGAAAGCATAATGTACAACAACCATGGTATCAATTTTCTGTTCAAAAGGTAAACATATCTCTAATACAATATGTAATGTGATGATATTCATAAATAAAAGTGAATAATAAATAATTAAGTACATTACCTCAATTCTAATCACTAGAGAGATTTATTTATATGGAAGAAAAAAGAGTATTCGGTATAGTACACTCACAAGAAGAAAGTCTCAGCCCATTGTGTGACATAATAATAATAATAATAATAATAAAAAAAAAGATGAACATGTGTTGTTAGACCTGGTGTCTAGTACATTCACTTTGCTTCTTGAATTTGAATTGTGTTTGAAGCACTGTACATCATCGGTGGGAGAGAAATATGAAAATATTAATATTAATATGATGACAGTCATACTGAGAGCAAAACTGCTGATGACCCACAATTTTAGATATGATATTCTAATCAATCAAACCAAATTCTGTTCTGCAACAATAAAACTGTAGAATGCATTTATCATGTCTGTGTGGGATGCATTCTGTATTAACAAAAGACAACCATATCAAGTGTAGTCTTATCTAAATACATAGGACCCCGGGGCTGAGGCTTTTCAGTGTGAATATACAGGAATACAATCGCATTTACATAAATACCAGTAAACATTTGCTTCTCAGTTCATAAAAAAATACAATGGATGTTCCTTTACTACTCTTCCCTACATCACAGGCAGGCAATCACTCTGCTTATTTTTATTACATAAATCTCTTTCCCTAAACCTATGACTTTGTTAGTCAGCTACATATTAGATTTTCCTCTAACTCAAAGCAAAATTTCAAGCTAAAAGACACAATCAGCTGCTTAATTTTTGTACTGCTTGACTGCTTTAATGCTTTTTTTTTTTTACTATTACCTAATTCATTCAAATACAGGCATAACAACAACTTTCTGGCAACTGATGGGCCTTTTTCACTTTGTTCGGAAATGCAGGCAGACATTTGAATTCCCTGGAACTGCCTGTTCAGTTCAGTGAGCATGCTAATTAATTACTTGGTTGGAATTTAGACACTCAAAATGCACAATCCTAGATTTTTTGGCAGAATCTGAATTTTGTGAGGTCATATATACATGCATTTCATAATTAATTATATAACTGAAATAAGAGTTGGACATGTTGTCTTCTATGTAAAATTGCAATCAAATAAGAAATTCATAATAACTGTAACAATCATTACAAAATCATTTAATATAGAAGTGTAATTAACTCATTTCTTTATATTCACTCCCTTGACCTACTGATTAAGGGAGTGAATGTATACATCAGTGTCCACTATGGTTTTATTTTATCAATTTTAAAAGCTTGCTCATAGATATCTACAGAAATGCTTGATTACCAAGGAGTTGATTACAAGTCCAATCTGACCCAAACTATTTAGCCCAATCTAAGCATTTCATAATTAATTATATAACTGAAATAAGAGTTGGACATGTTGTCTCTATGTAAAATTGCAATCAAATAAGAAATTCATAATAACTGTAACAATCATTACAAAATCATTTAATATAGAAGTGTAATTAACTCATTTCTTTATATTCACTCCCTTGACCTACTGATTAAGGGAGTGAATGTATACATCAGTGTCCACTATGGTTTTGATTTTATCAATTTTAAAGCTTGCTCATAGATATCCTACAGAAATGCTTGATCATAGTAACTGACTCCTCCATATCTTTGTTAACCCCTTGGTGCCGGGTGACGCCGATCGGCGTGTAAACAAAGTGCTTGAAAGCTGGCGTGCAGCCGAACGAGCCGGCGGCACGCCAAAGCGTGGTGAGCCAGTGATTCGGGCTGATGTCCCCTACTCACGCGCTCAAAGTCGCCGCCTTTGTTTGTTTAAGTGTAGAGTTTTTTTTTTGTTTTGTACACCTGGCGCCATTGGGTTAAATATCTCAGCTATTCCAAATTACGGGCCATGGGGAAATGATTGATTGCTGTGTGATAGCATAATCCGGACCATAAGCGTTCTCCTGAATATCCTATATCCAATTACAGAAACAGAATCTCATTGTTACACTACAGTTATTAATGATACGGTAGAAATCATAGCCACTTAGGCTTACATAAATTCTTGCTTGTGGTTAAGTGAAATTATTAATAGTGGCACTGAATATAAACATAAGACCCTTACTGATGTCAGTAAGATACAAGTGTTATGGAAAAGATACTGTATAAGTGGAGTGCGAGACAAAATGAACTATCCAATACAATTCTGGAGCTATCATTACTTAAAAAGCAGTGTTGTGCCTGTATTTAGCAAGTGCCATAAGTATTCATCTTCATGTCAAGAAAGACTTTGTTTGTCTCATTTTCATGCCCTGTTACTTAACATAATACACAATACTCAGTCCCAATTCCAGAGGTAAACACTTTATATAAACTAAGCATTTAGCATAAAAATTACATTATTCTTATAAACTATAAGCCATGTGAATCTTAGCAAAAACAAGCATTCATTTCCAAAATGGCAAACACAAGCATTCATTTCCAAAATGGCAAACACAAGCATTCATTACAAAAATACCAAACTCAAGCATCCATTACAAAAATTGACATGCAATACAACCTTTATATTTGTCACTCTAAGATAATGTTCTGCATCATCAAAATCACACAATTATTACTTATCTGTGCCTTGTAGAGAATCATATATCACAGTGTTCTAAAAAACAAATAGGAAATACATCCTAGCAAATCAATTACTCTCGCCTGAAAAAAATATATAAAACAAAGACATGTATCATTTTCCCTAAATAAATATTCCCGTACGTTTTGTTTACTTCTCTTCACCCTTTTCAACATCCTCTTCTTGCTGACGTGCAAACTGCAAAAACACTTGCTCGAGGGTTGTCTGACTCAGTGCATATTCACTGATGAGTCCATCACCTTTAGCTACAAAAAGAGGATTGAAAATTAGTCAAAATTAATGTTAATGAATATTTAGAGGTCAATTAATAAATGTTATTACTACTAATAGGAACAAATATATAAATATCTGGGTCATAGATGGAAGGCAAGGATAAGTTTACCTTCTTTCATATTGAACTCAATTCATATCCAAAACCCTTCTTACATACTAAATATTCTTCCAGTTCTGAGGTGATATACTCAAATACGATAGCATCCAAGCACGAAATGAAGGATATCCTAACTTACCCTTTTCCAGTACAGCAAATGAATTGGCCAGACTCTTGATATCAGACTGAGGAATCTTGTAGTGTAGTAACTCCCCAAATTCTTCATCTAACTCAGCATTTGGGAAACTATTCATAATAATATTTTTGGTTTCTGTCACGACATTCTCATCCCTGTAAAATTGTAAATAGGTAGTAAATAAAAGCTTTTTATTTCTTTTTTTTTGCCTGACATTTTTACTTTTTTTCTTTTGATTCAATTTGCACATATTCCTCTACAAGTCTTCTCTCTGCCTTTTTATTTTTGCATTATCTATCTAAGTTCTTAAAAACTATCATTTTCCTAAAAACTATATTATTTGTGTCCAAGCCTAGCTGAACTAAAATACTAATTCTTTTTTAGCTTTTCAAGAAAATGTTCAGTATATACTTTCATAATTCAAGTTTATCAAAAGCTTTTCCTCATTTTACCCAAATTCATACTTTTTCACCCCAAACAAACACTCATTCAAAAACACAGAGAACACAGTTACTAATTCACATATAATTCTAGTACACTATTTTGTTCATCTACTTACAATGAGGTATGGGTGGGGCTTTCACCATTTACAGACATAGTACATGTTTCCTGCTTCTGAAGCTTGACTTCAAGAGTATATCCTCCACCATACTTATTCTTAAGATGCTGAACAGATCCTATACACCTGTTGGAAAAAGAGGAAACTTCTTGAATGTACAAAATTACTTCTGAACACAAGGACCATTACTACTAATCTGTACACTATAAATCTACAACTAACATTAAGTACTGCAAAATACATTGTCAGTGTTAACCCCTATGGTCTGGAGGACGTGTCCATCACATCATGGAAAAATTGACTTGAGGGGTGGGTAGCATAAACATGCCATCGTGGGAAAATTTGCCTGTGGGTTGGAGTAACAAGAACTTGCATGAGCATGACGGTTGAGAAAGACTTGCCACAAACCTTTAGGATGGTGATTAAACTCATTTAGCATTTAGAAAGGGGCTTTTGCATTATTCCCATTGATAAATGAATGCGGAATTTAGTGACTGGTAGAGTACTGGCTCCAGGGAGGATGCCCTTTCCATGCTCAGCATCCTATTCCTGGCTGCTGTGACTGGCAGCACAGGTTGTATTACAGAAAATTGGATATTATGAAAAAAAATGTTACCTATTGTTATCATTCTTGCACTGACTTATGAACTACCTAAAGAGATGACATGGAGTCTGTGCAAGGAAAACACTCTATTACCATCTGGATAAAGTAGGTTAAATGACAAATACTGACATTGGAAAATGGCTATAATGCTTAAAATACTTAAGTATAAAAAAAGAAACAAACATTGCAAAGGGGAGGTATAGAGTCTTGTCACTACACATGAGTGTTTGCATGCATCCAACCTACATGCTGTATGCCTCTCAGAGTGGCCATTCACATAAGCCTTATGCCCATATTTTGGGCCGTGTGATTGCTGTGAAGCACCTAGATCCAATAGGATACCATACTCTATATCCAATGGGTAAAAACAGATAATACTATTAACCCATTGCTGCCGGGGAAAATGAACAAAAAATGGGGAAAATGCTGTGCCTATTTTCTATACATTTTTGTTAAATGTCTGCCCATAGATGGCTCTGTTAGCGCCGATTTGAAATGGCGGGAAAAAACGTATTTTTCACTAGTGCCATGAATATCGATGGTGTTATTTTTATCATAAACATTACAATTTTTATAATATTTTTTAACATTAGTAACAGCAAAATAAGATAACGTAAAATATTTCGTAAATCAAAGAAAAGAGTGAACGGGCGAGACAGGCGGTGCTCGTAACTGGCTCATTGGTGATTTAGTACAAGTGTAGCCATCTATACATAAAAACAATCAAACAAGTAATCTCACAGTGGCCATGGCATGGCATGCCCGGCGGGAATGGGTTAATCACCCATAAGATAACAGATAACAGACTTTTTAATGTTGTTAATCTATGGACCTCTCTACGAATAATGTTACAGATGTACTGTACAGAATGAAAGCAGTTATTCTTTATTTTTGGTCACTGTTCCCAGCTGAAATTTTGAAGGGCTTTGTTTTATATCTTGACAAATGTTCTGTGTAAGTTTAACTTACCTTAAACCCCCACACACTTGTATAGCAATTCTGGAACAAAGTGCATCTGCTTCTTCCATGGAATGAGTAGTTAGAATAGCACTCCTATTCCCCTGTGTAATATGCAAATAAATATCAATGAAACTTGTAATATAGCTTAAATTCTCATCTTTTCTAAACAAGCTTTCTCAAATACTTTTCTGCTCAGATTTTTTCTATGATTCTGGATAAGCCTACATTATCCTACATCAATATATAATTTTTTTAATGTACTAACAGCTGTACCTTAAAGGACGCTAAGATAGAATTCCATAGGAACCTCTTTGATTGAGGGTCCATTCCAGTTGATGGTTCATCCATGAGAACAACCTTTGGCTGACCTGAAAATAATAAAAAATAACAGCATGACTACATTAATACTGACATCAATAAATGCATAAGCTGCATAATCACTTAGGAAAACCATTTCCTGTGAGTGATTGTGATGTAACTAAAAGCCACACAATAAACAACCTTAGGCCATCTTTTGTTGGTGATCTCTAATCTATGTATCTGTCAAGTCATGCCTATAGCTGTCATAACAAACCACTTGATCTGTTGGGTACGACTATATGCGTGGCGATTAAGTTCTGCTACATGTAACAGACTCCCACTCCCAACAACAGAACAGTAGCCAGAAATCACCGGAGTATATGACATCAAGAGATTTCTAATACCGTCATCTAAGAGTTAATTCCCTATCACATGAGCACTCTTTTTTACAAATGTTTGAGGCTTTCCACAAGTATTGCAAACAGACAGACTAAATTCTGTATTGATCATGTGCTTTGGAGATTCCATACAACTAGAATATTTCTTAATGATAAATAAGACAGAAGTTAATGTAAACATAAGTTACCATTCTAGAATATTTTTATATACAAAATAAATATGAACAGAAAGTTTATATGGAAATGCAAAAGATGGTGAAAAAAGTGAGTATATGAGAAGGCCTTTAGGCTTAATAAAATTAAAATGAGTATGCAAATTATGAGATCAATTGTGTGAATTTTGAATAAATTAAATAATTTAAACTTTTTCATATATGTCAGTAGTCAATTTATATTTCCCTAAAAATCATTAAAAGTGTGAGACAGAGAACTGAAGACTATTTACCTAGCATGCTGATGATATAACTCAACTTCCGTTTTGTGCCTCCAGAGCAGTCTTTGCTCTGCTTGTCTCTGTGTTCTTCAATTTCTAGGCCTTTCAGATACATATCCACTAATCTGAAAATATTAAATAATATATGAATATCATTAAACAATTATGCTTCCGAAAGTGCAGGTTTTTTGTTCAAATTCCTCTTATTGATATATCTAAAATGGTCTTCATTATTTACAATGGTCACTTACAACAATTGCTAACTGATGTACATAAATAAATGAAAATAAACAACCAGATGATAAAAGTACAGAAACAAATATAGCAACAATAGTCAATAGTAATAAAATTTCAAAGTATAATCATCAGAATGGAACAAATCACTAGTCATTACGGTTGGATCTGATCTGGATGAACACCTCTGATTTCTGCATAACAGGCAATGTGCTCAGCAACAGTAATATTTTTCCAGAGTACATCATGTTGAGCACAATAGCCCAACTTCTGGAAGACATTAGAAAGACCAGACTGGATGTCATCACCACATATTTGTACCTGAAATAAGGAGAAATAGAAATAACGTCTTGGGCAAAAAGTTTATAAGCAAATCCTGTTTTTTCAAAATATAATGACAAATAAAAAGTGGTGTTTTGAAAGTTATAATTTGCTTAACCCAGTGTCACCATATGACATGCCATGCTCACTGTAAAGTTTAGTTTAAGACTATTTACCTAGCATGCTGATGATATAACTCAACTTCCGTTTTGTGCCTCCAGAGCAGTCTTTGCTCTGCTTGTCTCTGTGTTCTTCAATTTCTAGGCCTTTCAGGTACATATCCACTAATCTGAAAATATTAAATAATATATGAATATCATTAAACAATTATGCTTCCGAAAGTGCAGGTTTTTTGTTCAAATTCCTCTTATTGATATATCTAAAATGGTCTTCATTATTTACAATGGTCACTTACAACAATTGCTAACTGATGTACATAAATAAATGAAAATAAACAACCAGATGATAAAAGTACAGAAACAAATATAGCAACAATAGTCAATAGTAATAAAATTTCAAAGTATAATCATCAGAATGGAACAAATCACTAGTCATTACGGTTGGATCTGATCTGGATGAACACCTCTGATTTCTGCATAACAGGCAATGTGCTCAGCAACAGTAATATTTTTCCAGAGTACATCATGTTGAGCACAATAGCCCAACTTCTGGAAGACATTAGAAAGACCAGACTGGATGTCATCACCACATATTTGTACCTGAAATAAGGAGAAATAGAAATAACGTCTTGGGCAAAAAGTTTATAAGCAAATCCTGTTTTTTCAAAATATAATGACAAATAAAAAGTGGTGTTTTGAAAGTTATAATTTGCTTAACCCAGTGTCACCATATACATGCCATGCTCACTGTAAGTTTAGTTTACTAAATGAGTTTACACATAAATGACTCCACAAATATTCAGTAGCCAACTAGTACACTGCTATCTATATCATCTGTTTACCTTTTTCCTTAATTTTCAGAAATATTTTCTTTAAACTTATATTGATATTAGGAATGTCAATAACATTATAATAATTATTACATCTATAACAATAATGTCAGCTTTGAAAAGAGAAAATAATGAAAGAAAGAAAGAAAGAAAGAAAAAACACATAAAGAAAGGTGAAATCAGGTGAGGCCACAAGGTGTCCTAACTGACTCCCTGATGGCTAACCACTTGTGAAACCACCTATGTGTAGAGACATTTCACAAAACAGTATTACAGAGAACACTACTTGTTTTAGCACAATTAGAAATCTACTACATAGAATAAGTCAATGCAATATTCAACCTATAATCTGAGGAAAAAACCCTCTCCACTGAGGTAATCACTGCTATAAAAAGGGGACGATCTTATGGAATCATACAATCAGCTGTTGCATAAGAATTGGCAACATTCCCAGCTATAAAATTTCCTAAGAAAAAAAAATAATTAAAAAAATCAGAATACAGCAAACAAACGTGAACCCCATAACTTACTCTTCCTTTCGTCGGGGCCTCTTCTGCTGTCAAAACACGAAGAGTTGTTGTCTTTCCAGCCCCATTGGGTCCCAGTAATCCAAAGACTTGGCCTTCTCGTACACTCAGTGACACACTTTTTACTGCAACAAACTCTTTATCTTCTTTCTTTTTACCACAAGCTTTCTTGCCTCCTTTGTTGTACACTTTGCCGAGATCCTGAAATCAGAAAGTAAATTTATCATAGTAGGAAGAGATGTTGAAACAATAATGATTATAATACTATGTGATACCATATCAGGCTCCAATCATTTTTCTTTTCATTCCAACTGTATACTCTGGTTCTACTGATCTAGTAGACAGCCAACATCTGTTATATCTTAAGCCCAAATTGCAGATTTGGGGGACAGAATACTCTGCATCTCTGACAAGTTTTGGCCTTGTGGAATCTCCAATACCCCTATTAATGGTTGAA